ATAGTAAAGACATTTTCTTCACTTAAATGATTATACTTCTTATCACAAAGCACTCTAATTTTAGGTGTACCAAAAATAACATTGGTACATATGGAGTCACAAATTAACAGTTTCCATAAATAATACCACTTTTGTCAAAGAGCCAATCCTAAAAGTGAAGTTTCATATAATAATACAACCATGTTTGGATGTGAAGAAATTTTCAATCACTATTCCAGTGCCATAAAAAGAAATCTAAAATGGGCTTATCTCTAATTTTGCTGCTGATTAAATATCACAGTCAACATTCTTAAATTACTCCAATGTCATACAGAAGAAAAGTTGGAAGAGCTAGAAAAACAATCATTTAAAGCAGGCTCTCAGCCACAGTGGTGCACACACACCTGTAATCCCAGAAGATTTAAGAGACTGAGGCAGGGCAATCACAGGTTCAAGACCAGCCTTGGCAATTTAGCAAGACCCTAGCTCAAAGAAAGAAAAAGACCTGGGGGTATAGCTCAGTGACAAAGTGCTCCTCAGTTTAATCCCCAGCAACACACACATACCTTCCAAAATCCTAAGGAATATGACCACAAAAGAGAGGATCTATGAGGAAGATAGAATATAAATCTTTGTACCAAGCAGAAAATATCCAACTTAGCAAAGACTTATTTAAAAAAAAATAAAAGGTGAGAAGCAATCTTCAAACTATCAAATGCTCTTTGCTGTGGTCATAGTTTACCATTTTCCCCTTATCTTCCCTAGACTTGTCTGATCACCTTCAAATGTTCTCTGAACGCAACATACGTGTTATACAGAAAGGAAAAGCATTTTCCTACAGACAAATAAGCTTAAATTTTTACCTGTAATGCAGATCGTTAATAAGCTAAGGACACACTGAGAGAATACATAGGAAAGGCAGCATCATGGAGACAACATTAAATAGATTCAACTCAACATGGAGGTCATCAAGCTCTGAGATGTAACACAAATCATTTAACCTCCTTTAGGGAGGTCTCCTATTCCACCAAGTGGAACTCACAACTTCTTGCCTCACAACATTGTTATGAGCGTTATCTAGCATTGCACCCTGCAAACCATGACATACTATGGTTTCAGGAAATGTTGTATGTAATCTTATTTAAATCAAGTTTATTAAATGTTTGTCAAAGGCATGAGGTGTAATATCTATCATTTCTTTGTTAAGGGGGAAATTTGAAATATTAGGGAGCTGTTAAAGCAAAATGACACCAAAATGATGTTTTCTTCCTGATGCAATTAGAAGGATGGAGAAAGGATTGAACCAGGAATACTGGTTATTTGCCATTTAATGAATACTACATAATGCTTTGGATAGACCAAAACACTTTTGTTCTTTGTCATATCATTTTTGTTCTATCAGAAATAGGTGTTTCCTCTTTGGGAAAGACCAGCATACTTCTTGCATTCTGTGGTCCTTGTTGCTAAGTGATTTATCCAAAGATGTAACCTCAGCCAGTTGTGAAACTGGGCTCATCAGTATAAGATTTTTCATGTCTTCAAGCTCTCCTAATCAGTAAAAACCTAAACTAGCTTAACTGCACATAATTCCTCAATTTTTTACAAAGTGGCAGACAATGCAAATGACAGGCAGAACTCTCAAACAGTTAATGACCTCAGGGAATTTGAATTTTATTACAGATGGTTAGCAATGGAAAACAAATTTTGAATTGTAATAAAAATTAAAGACCTGCAGATGAATGATCAGACCTATCAAGTGTCTAATCAGGGGAGTCCCTTCTGTCGCTAATCATGTACAACACTTACACACACTTAACACTGCAGAACTCTCTAAACACATTCACTTGGATTTCCTGTCAAGTAGATATATGCCCAGGTATGAGTGCTCTTCAAGAAAATTAATTGGCAACACAAATGTGATTGTGTCACTTTCCTTAAATGCTTCAATGGCTTCTCAATTGCCTTGGGGATAAAACCCTAAAGCTTTAACATGATTTCCCCCTTGATCTTCTCCATGAAATGGGGCTGCTCACCCTCTTTGGAGCCCCATCCTGTTTTTCTAATTTTCTCTCTTTAATCAGATTTTCCTTGCTGTAATAAAAACCTGGGATAATCACCTTATATAAATAAAAGGTAGAAATAAAAGATTTATTTTGGCTCACGTTCAGAGGTTTCAGTTTGGTGTTTCAGTCAGCTTTTTCACTGCTGTGACTGAAAGACCCGACCTACACAATTGTAGAAGAGGAAAAGTTCATTCAGGAGCTCACGCTTTGAGAGGTCTCAATCCATAGACAGCAGGCTCCATTCTTCCTGGCTTGGGGTGAGGCAGGATATTATGGTAGAAGGGTGTGGCAGAGGGAACCAGCTTACAGTGTGATCAGAAGCAGAGAAAGAGAGACTCCACTCTCCAGATACAAAATATATACCCCATAGTCATGCCCCCAATGAACCACTTCTTCTAGTTGCACCCCACCTGTCTCCAGTTACCACCTAGTTAATCCCATCAAGGATTAGTTTGCTGATTGGGTTAAGGTTATAACCCAATCATTTCTCCTCCAAACATTCTTGCATCGTCTCACATGTGAGCTTTTGGGGGACACCTCACATCCAAACCATAACAGTCAGTGACCCATTGGCTCCATTATTTGTTCATGTGGCAGCACATTATATACTGAGAACATGAGGCAGGGCAAACTGTTTGGCATTTCAGGATGTAAAATAAAGAGCAGAAGAGGCCTGAATATCACTTTCAAGGGTACACCCCCAGTGACTCAAAACCTCCAATAGACCCCAGTTCTTGAAGCTTCCACCCTCTCCCAATGGCACCAATGTAGAGGCCAAGCCATCACCACATGAGCCTTTGGAGGACATTCAGGATCCAAAGTATGATACTCTCCATACTCCAGTCATACTAACTTCCTTTTATCTTCTCCAAAAAGAGGCCTGTTCATACCACATTCATCTACTCTTTCGCAGCTGCATTACCTCTAATCCTGTGAATGCTCATCCTTCAAGTCTCAGGTGAAATAGCACTTTCTCAGAGAAGTCTTCCTTGAACCCCTCAGATTATCTGTCATAATCTTCTCTACTTCTTGAACACTGAGACTGCAGTTGAATTGCTGGTGAATGTCATTATATTCTACTGGCACATAACTCCCTGAAGTGGGAAGTGTATATATCTTTTCTATCCCTGTGTCTCTGGCATATACTACAGTGTCTGGCACTAAGTAGACATTCGCCATTCATCTGCTAATGAAGAGATAACAGTAGAGCCAACTAGAATAACCTAGAAAATCTTGAGAGAAGATTTGGTATCATTTTCCCCCCAACACCATCTGGACCATTCTCTTTTTCTAAATATTGATTTGGATCTTTATGGAGAAGGAAGGGTAAAGGGGGAACTCAATCTTCCATCCATTTGAGTGACTTTGAAGGTCCTGGGTGTGGTTCCATCCTGGGGGATGCTATCCTTTTCAAAATAAGACCACTGTAATGTCCAACCTAGTGGGCTCAGATAAACCCCACACAAGCCAGAGCACAGCAGGGCACTCAAAAGACAACATTCTAAAGTATCTTGCTTTCTCTTAAGCAATAAAAATAAGTCTTACTTTCATGTTGAAGGAAATCCCACAACTATCTACTCCAGTAGCCACAGTAGTGAATAGAGGAAGACATGTGATACACTTGGGGCAAAAAGAGGCAGCATGGTAGGATGGCCGGAGCACTGGCCAAAGAGTCAGAAAAGCAGTTCTTGTTCTGAAAACTAGGTCCTGGTTCTGACTCTGCCACTTATTTGCTGTGTGACCCTAAACATTTGGATCCTACTAGCTAAATGCCCTGGCTTTAGAATTGAACAAATCTGTTGTCTATTCGGGTCTTATCATTTACTATTTTATCTAAGAGTTGCTGATACTTCAATAATATAGGCAATGTGCAGGTTGTAAAATACTGGACAAATTATGGAAAATGTTCCACTGGTCCTTGAGAGAACTTTGATCCTTTTGCTTTTGAACAGTGTCTGTTAATAACAAAATGAGCTTTCATTCCCTGGTATTTGATGGCTCCATTTCTCATCAAGCTAGTGAGAGAGGAGTTAAAAATTAGTTGTGACTGATACATATTCAAACGTAACTGTGTGTTGATTGATGTGATGCATCTCCCCTACTTTCATTCATTCCTCTATAGAAAAACCATCTTTTAATAAAATAGCCAATATGATACCTTCTTATGGATCAGACTTTTGTTCACTGCAACATAGCAAAAACTTGATGTAAAGAGTGATGACCTGAATCATAAGCTGGATAGGCTACCACCTGTATGCTTTGTTTTTTAAGGAAACATAAATGCTCTTTCTGCTTATTGATGCTCAAAAATTCATGATTGATATAACTTTTCTTTGCACAATTAGAGACAACTTTGCAATTTACAGGGAAGTGATATAGTCAATTTTTACCAAGATACAGATTATTAATTTGAAAGTATTTTCTGATGACAATTTGAGGAAGAGGACATTAAACACATGCCATATGGGGGGATAAAAGGAAAAGAGCAACAACAACAAAACGAAATCAATCTTCCTGCTTTACTCTGTTAGGTTCTGAAACATTAAAAGGGATTTATTTTTAAATGTACTCTTTTTAAATTATCTCAATTGAAGTAACTATTTTGAGAATAATACAGGAAGACAATCTTATTATCTAAATTCCTCATAGTGCTTTCTTGTGTTCTATAACATTTCCATTACATTCTAGGGTCACTATGGTTAACAATAATTGTACTGGATATTTCAAAATAGCTAAAGAGAAGATTTTAAGTATTACCACAAAGAAATGCTAATTGTATGAAATGCTGGATATGCTAAATATTATGGTTTAATTATTATACAATGTATCAGGTTTTGAAATATCACACCATGCCCCATAACTATGTATGATTATGTGTCAATTAAAAATAAATTTTCAAAAGAAATGTATATCAAAGAGGAGCTGGATTGACCTATTCGACATTGGTTTCTATTGCAGACTTATAAATGAATCTTTGAGGGACCAGCTACTGGTGACTATACAGAAGACTTTCACATACACCCGAACCCAAGCACAGCATCTGTTCATCATCCTCATGGAGTGCATGAAAAAGAAGGAATTGGTATGTAATTCCCCATGGGTGGCAGAGGCCTTCTCCATGTGACCCAAATATTTTCTTGAATCATGCACCATTTTTTTCCCCCTGGTCGAGCTTACAACCCTCCTCAGGCTCACTGGTCCCACAAGTTTCCTCACCTAAATAGCAAAGACACAAGTCTTTCAGCCTTGGATTTAATGAAGCATGTGCAGCAGGGTTTTAGCATAATTTCCTTTTAGAGCTCATCTGAATGCTTCCAACTGCCTTAACCAAATGAATTGAGCAAAAATAGGTTTCCTCCTGGGAAATGCTCAAGTTGATCCTTTCTTGGGTTTGGGGTTTCACTTGCTGGTAAGTAGCAAGTCATTCATAGTACTTTGGGGCAAATATCTTTAGTGACAGCATCCAAACTAATCTGCTAATCCATCATGGTGGAAAATGAAGAGACATACCCAAGAAATGCTAGTAATATCTGTATGCAGTTTCTGAAATGTCATCTAGTAGCTATTGAAACATTTTTTACGTCAGAAAAATGTCTAACAAATGTGGTATAAGGAGAGACCCTCTGGTTAGGGTAAACAGAAATAACATGAGCAAACATTTAACACTTGCTATATGCCAGGCAGGTGCCAGACATCTACTAACTCGTCCATCTTTGTCCTGATCAGAGAGGTATGATTATTGCCTTTACCTTACAGATGAGGAAACACGGACTCATTTGAAATAGTAAATGAGAAGCTAGGACTCAAAAACAGCAGTATTTTTTTTTTTTTTTTTTGAAATTGTCTCATTGAGGCCAATGTAGTGAATCGCCTCTTGAGTATATTCCCATCAGTTCCCATCAGGCCTCAGTTTGCAAAGACTATTTTCAAAGGTCATTTGAGTCCACCTGGTGACAGTGGTAGCAAAACATTTTAAAGAAGAATTGATTATATTAAGCAAGAGGCATCTCTGGAAAGCATCCACACAGCCTTTGTGAGAAGTCTTCTGTCAGCTTCCGGGTTTGGGAGGAAACAAAATGGGGAGAAAATGGGGCATGTCTGATCCAAATGGGGAGAGAATGGGGCTTGTCTGATCTTGATTATCCATAGCCTGGCCACCACAGATACACACACACACACACACACACAGAGACAGACAGACTGACTGACTGACCAAACCAGCAGTTAGGGTACATGGTCATGACTGCTCTTTTCCCATAGAGCCTCTACCATCCCTGACAGTGCCACCCATGTGCAGCATCCTCCCATCTCAAATTCAGTTCTCTCCACATCTCAGCTCACTTGCTTCCTCCCAAGAAGGAGGTGCCGAAAACTTGAGCTTCCACAAGCCACAGTATGGATTTTCTTGAGTACTGATGATTTTCCAATATTGAGGCCAAAGCTCACTGTAAAAACTTACCAGAGCTATATATTGCAGTCCTGCAAATTTCCCAGAAAGGCAATTCTAGTAAAATTCTAGGAACCTACTGGAGGTCATAAAACCAAATGAAGCTAAATGGACTTCTCTGGGTAGCTCATGGGACTGTTCTGCAAGATGCTGCCTGATAACTGTTGTGTTGCTTAATCGTGATCTCTGCTACAAAGGTCAGCTGCATTGTAATCCAAGTTGTTCATTATAAGAAATGTGAAATAGTCCTCACTCCAGGCTAAGTAAATGCATCCTGATCAGGCAGTAAGTCATCTTCTATTCACATCTAGGCAGAAACGTTAGGGTTTTTAAGATTATAACTGTAATTAAAATAACTTCCATTTCTGAGGGGCTATATATGTGCCTGGACAGGACTAGATGTTTTACAAATAAAGTGGATATGAGGTAGCCATTTTTTCCTTATCTTGCAGAGACATTTAGAGGTGAGGAAATGCATACACAGCCAGGAAAAGGAGAGATAGAACTGCCTTATTACAGTGTTATCCACTCACCAGGCTGCATAGCACATAACACAAAACAAAGCATTACATAGTGAAATTCCTCTTTCATATATTTGTCAAGTTTCCATTGATTCCCTTTACAAACTGCTTGGGCTATAATATTCTGAGCCCAATCTAATATTTGCCAAGTTCAGTTAAGGGGTTTGATTTTAAGGCTTATGTGGTTTCTTTCTCCTGCCAGACTCCAATGAACTTGCGTAGAAAAGACCCACATTAAGAATTTAGCTTATGTCACATGGGTCTCAAGCCAGTATGGTCTCATGGAAAAATATGCCTTGAGGGTCCTTTGAGGTATCCAGGCAGGTGAGGCCACCCCTCACGACATCACCACATGGAGATGTTGCTATACTTTCTCCTCACTTCACAGTTTTGAAGAAATTAATTTCTCCTGTTTACTCAAAAGCTGTCAACAGATGTATCCTCCCAGAAGCCACCCTGTGGGATAATTCCATCAACTTCTTTGCATACAAAAACAAAAACTGTCCACAACAGCATATTAATCTGAGAACATATTTAAGAGTTCAGACTTTAATAATCATCCCCCACCGCCCTTCTTCCTCAAGAGTCATCTGGCCATAAAGAAGAGCAAAAACAGGAAAAGAGTACCCAAGTGGCCATCCCCTCCTTGAGGCTGATTCTATATATAGAAACCTCCTCCTTCCAGAGGCTGGTGCCAGCTTCTCCTCCTGTTGCTGCCTCCCAGGGCTCCTGCCTACCCTCTGAGCTGCTGCAGAACTCTTCCCCCATCACTATTGCCAACCTACCAGCCCCATATGGAGGTAAAAAATTTCCTTTTGATACCCTACAGTGGAGAAGGACCCACTGGACTCAGCATTGCAAGCCCCATAATACGTATAGCCCTCAAAAAGTCACAGTGACAGACAGCAGTGGCCCAGCTGCTACTTCACCACCTCCATTTCCAAGGCAATAATTTATAATGACTCTCCTCCCCTAGACCTCCCAGGATATGGTGCTATTCACCTTTCCATCACCTCCCAGTCAAATCTAGAACTTACTCAAAGCTGATGCTGTTCCAAAACCCAATGCTTTGAAACCTACTTCTTCCTCCAAACACAACTGCCCTACTTGTCCCTGCCCCCACACTGCTGCTTCCTTGATATTGAACCTGACCTTGAATGCCAAGCCTCCCTATAATTCATTAGCCTAAGACCAAATGCCCAAGTAATCCATGTGGAAGTATGCCTAGACTGCATCTTTCATTTATTTCCCTGTGCCTTGAGAGTACATGCTATGTATTTCTACCCTAGGTTCTCACACCTGTGTGGCCCTCTGCTCTGTCCCAGTGCTTCTCTATACCACCCACAAAGCCGAACCATTTGGTTCTCATTCTCCCAGGCCTTCAATAACGTAAAGCAGTCCTTGTGTTTGTCTTTAATTCATAGCCACTCTCTTTCCCAACAGTTGTTCCAAGTCTTTTATGTTGCAGTTTTAAACCACACCCACATTTTTAATATATTTTAAATGCTCGCCCTGTGCTGGTTAGCTTTTCCTGTTTAAGACTTTTCTATTCACTATATTTGTAGTTTGATAAATTTCCATTTAAGTTGAGAAATCGTTTATCAGCCTTTTGTGTTTTGAACTTTTTGCCTCTTAATAAACTCTTATCTCAATGACAAAAAGATGCCCTATAGTTTCTTCTAAACCATGTATCTAGTTTCATCTTTCACATGAAATGTACAACCAATCTAGAATTGGCTTTCTGTATATAATACGAAGTAAGGATGACTAATTCACCCTGCATTTCCCACTCATTGGTCCAACCTTACGTCACATAATGCCCACTCTGTCATAATCCAGTTTCCATACCTACCTGAGTCTTTTGGACTTTCCTAATCAGCATAGCTCTATAATAAGCCCTGACGTATGGTAGGAAAAGTCACCCTGCCAGTTGTTTTTCTCTAGGATTGCCAGCTATTTTAGCCCCCACTCATAAATTTTAAAGTCCGTTTGTCAGATTGCTTGTGTCCTGCCCCCAGTACAGAAACCAAAAAATTATTAATTTATGCCCTTAATATTCAACAGAAGGCTTATCCTTCAAAGAAAGCAAGGGCTGTACATTTAAGCTTCCCCCCACGCCCTTCCCCTCCATATGCATATGATGGGATCTTGACTGATGCTTTATTTATTCAGTCTGGTATCAAAAGAACTAGTATCCTTTTTCTAAGATCATTCTTAAAACTTGGGCTACATATCCCATCACTTAACACTTCCTCTGTGATCTTTCCCTAAAAATCTGTGGTTTTGAGCAGTAGCCCTCTTAACTCTTCCCTCTGCATTGAGTTCTACCTTCATCTTCCGCCTCCCTACAGATCCAGGGACACTGGGCCCTTCAGCTTCCTTTTCCCCCCTTTTCCTTGCCCTTTTTCGCTGCTTTCACCCATAAATGTTGACACTACCTGAAGCTTTGTTCTCAATCTCTTTTTTTTTTGTCATTTTTAAGAGATTTTAAAGTTTTCCACAGTAGGAGACTTCTCCTTGAAATTCTGTCCAGTTTTTTCCTTTATGTATTTTGAGATTGCTATGAAGTTCATAAACTTTTAAAACTAGCCTTATTCCAGTGAGTTATATTTCTATCATTATTCAACAACCTTATTTATTCCCGACAATTGCTTTTCAGTTCATCTGATGTTAATACATTTATATCAGCTTCTTTTTCAGACTTTTCTGAAAAAGTAAATTTCCATTATCTTTTTTATTTCCAACTTTGTTATGTGGGTTTCTTGAAAATGATATATAGCCTTTTCTAAAAATATATTAGAAGCTCTAATATTGAATGGTAAATTTAGATTATTTTCATGTATTCTGCACTATTTACTCTGAATAACTTTTATGTTTTATTCATTAAGATACACTCCCCTACTGAGTCTCATTTAAGGATTTCACTCTAGTATCCTTTTTTTTTTTTTTTTCTTGGCTTTGACAATGTTCTCTTTGGAAATTACTCACAAACCTATCTCTGGCTCTAACCTTTTCCTCACTGTCTCCACAATGATAATTGCAACTTACAGGTGGACATTTCTTTGTCACTTCAAGTTTAACAGGTCCAGGAACAAAAATCAATCTCTCTAATAC